GGGGAAGGGTGCAGGGCGGTGCAGGGCGGTGTTACTACAGCCTGGATGTCCACAGCCACTGCAGAGTTTGGTGGGTCATTGTGTGGTCTCCGGTTCAAATCTTGGCATGCCACTTAATATCTGTGTGACCCTGGGCAACTTAATCTCTCCGTGGCTCTGTTCGCTCATCTACAAAATGGGGGGACAAAAATATGTCCCTCAGAGAGTTGCTGGGATGACTCAATGAGGTGATGCTTACAAAGCATGTGGACCAGTGCCTAGATGGAGCATTGTTGTTCTTATTATTATTAAGGGTCCTCTTGAGTAGCCCCAAGGACCCACCCAAGCCGACAGAGCCCTATTACTAAGAAGAAGGGAGTTTGTGATAACTGGAAATATAACCATGAGGTGTGAATTCCCTTCCAGGACTTTCTTTTGGACAGGAATGTTCTCTGTGACTCAGCCACTCTGACCCTTCTTTCAATTCCTTGAATGCACCAAGCTTAGTCTCACCCCAGGGCCTTTGCACATGCTGCGTCTACCACTTGGGGCACCCTTTTCATTCCTCCTGGCTAACTTCTACTCATTCTTTGGGGAACTTTTCTCTGACTGACTCCCTGTCTCTTCTCAACCCTGACTAGATTGGGTCTCCTTGTATGTCTCCTTCAGAGGCCTTGCCATCAAATGGGAAAGGGGCAACGTGTCAGGATGGTTAAAAAGTAGCAGTTCTGGAGTCAGATCAGGCCTGGGCTCAAATCTCACAGTTGCCCACTGTGTGTCCTGGACAAGCCACTCACCCCTCTGAACCTCCACTTTTTCACCTGTCAGTCAGGGTTGCTATAGTAGTGCCCACCCCGAGCGTGGTTGTGTAGACTAGAATGACATCAATTACCCGAAGAACACACAACACAGTGCCTGGCACATCATAAGCCTTAGAGGTATGGCTTCTATGTATTTTTTATCATAATGATATAATTAATTCAATACCTGTGGAAGAAAGATTAATGCCTGTTTCCTCTGGGAGGCTGTGGAGAGGGCAGGGACTTTTTTTGGTTCACTGCTGTATTTCCAGCACCTAGAACAGTGCCTGGCACATAGTAGGTGCTCAATAAACACATATGGAATGTACAAATAGGCACTAGCGTGTCTGAGGATGGGGAGTGGCAGAGGTTCTCCTTAAGCCTAGGAAGTTTATAAATTTTGAATTTCACTTGGTGTAAAAGGATAAAAGCAAAGAGAAAAGGAACGAAAGAGGAGGAGAAAGAGAAGGAAGGGAAGGAAAGAAAGAAAAAGAAAAAAGAAAGGGAAGAAAAAGGAAACAAGGAGAGAAAGGAGGCAAGAGAGCGGACAGAGAAAGGGAGGAAGAGAAAGAAAAAGAACCAGGAAGGATAGGAAGTTGGAAGGAAGGGAAAAGAAAAGCGGCAGCTGAACCCAGCTGTGGGCTCCAGGGACCACCTACTGGAAGGGACTGGCATTGCAGATGGTGACGGCGGGGAAGTCCATGGTCTTGAAGCCTACGGACAGGGAGACGCTGACCTCCCAGCTCAGGTAGGTCTGGATGAAGACGCCCCACTGCCAGCAGACAAGGGCTGCGAAGAGCAGCGTGAGCAGGAACCACATGGCTTTCTTCTTGGGCCCCTCACAGATGATGCGCTTGGGGCCGTGGGTGTTGGTGTTGTCGCAGTACCACACCAGCAGCTCCTTGTACGTGTAGCCGGGGCCCTTCTGCAGCCGGTGCAGGCCCTTCAGCAGGTACTTCTTCACGCGCCTCATGGCACCTGCAGAGACATGTGGGGGACCACGTCAGGAGGGACACCAACCTCTCCTGCAGTGATGTCCCGGTCGTGGCCAGAGACTGGACGACACACCCCACCCTCCCCTCTTCCCTCCTTTTTCTTCCTTCTTGCCATCCATCATCTATCCACCCACTCATGCAATCAAAAGGCATCTATTGAGTGCCCATTGTATGCCAGGCACTGGATTGGTCCCTTTGGATTCAATGATAAGCAAAATGGACAAGGTTTCTTGCCCTCTGAGAATTCACAACTTAGTGGAAAACTTACCTAAACTCTCAACTCCTCAGGTTCTCCATGTGTAAAGTGAGGATAATAATTATATATTATTTATAAAGTTGCTGAGAGGGTAAAATTAGGGGATTCACAAAAGATGCACCACCTAAGTACAGTGCTTAGCACAGGGCAAGCACTCAGTATGTTAGTTACCAAGCTTAGTAGTTGTTAGTAGGGGAGAGAGATGTCAATCAAATAATCCATCAAAAATGCATATATACAACACATGGCAGGCAGGACTGGGACCCTGTGCCCTGAGATCCTGGAGGCACTAAAGGTGGTGCTTAGGAAGGAGGACTCCTGAGCAGAAGTGTCTGCCTTTGAATCTCAGAAGTGTCACTTTCTAGTGTGGGACTTGGAGCACGTCACTTGTCGGTGCTTCAGTTTCCTTATCTGTAAAATGGGGATGATACAAGCTTCCGCCTCTAAGGTCATTGTGGATTAACGGCTGGCATCTAAGTGTCTGCTGTTACTCTTATGAAAGGGGTTTGACTGGGCCTGAAAGTCCTCGGAGAAGTGACTGCAGAGCTGAGCATTAAAGAACAGGAGGGATGGTGGAGGGGAAGGGCATGCCAGGGGCAGGGAATGGCATGAGCAGGCTCTGAGGGGGAAGGAGCCCACAGAGGTGAGTGGGGCAGGCCACGCAGGGCCTTGAGGGCCATGTTCAGTTTGGGTTTCCATCCCAAGAGAACTGGAATCTTTGGAGGCACGGGGGTGTGATGCCTTCAAATCTGGGATTTGAAAAGAGCCTTCCATCTGCTCTGTGGATACAGATTAGAAGGGGCCAGGGTGGGTCCAGAGCATCAAGTGGTTGCCACGGGTCATGGGGGGATGTCAGACCTTTCTGAGACTCTGTTTCTCACATGCACGAGGAGACGGGGTTCTTGTGAAGATTAACAAAGACACTTGTCACAGAGCCTGGCACATGACAGCCTCTTAGGAAAAACCTGTTTCTTCCTTCCTTCTTCCCAGACACAGAGCAGGAGAAGCCCAGTCCTATCCCAGGAGCCCCAACTGTATTTGACCTTCAGGGTTGAGACCAAAGGCCACCTCCTCCATGAAGTTCTCCTGACTCTGGGCTGGAATGACCCTCATCCTCCTTTCCCTTCTGGGGGCACTGTGATGGGCAGTGTGGCACCTGCTTGCCCAGCATCCTCTCCTCCTTGCTCTGATGTTTCAGATCAGAAGTGAGCTGCCAGGCTGGCCTCCACTCCTACTCCGGCAGGTGTGTACATGACCAGATTGGACCACTGAGACGCAATTCAGTTACTTTACGCT